TGAACTCACTCTTTCTGATGTCTGCCTGCAGGCCTGCTTTCTGTAGACACATAAGCACCTTTTGTACATGCTCACAATGCTCCTGTAAGCTTCTTGAGGAAAATATCAAGATGTTATCTAAATAGACTAAGTAGAAGTTATCCAGATATCTACATAATGCCCAGTTGATATATTTTTAATATATGCTCAGAGCATTAGCCAAATCAAAGGGTGTAACCAGCTACTCAAATAGCCTGTATTTGATTTTAAAGGCTGTCATCCACTCATCACCTTTTGTGATTTAAATCTTGTAAAAAGCTACAATAATATTCAACTTAGTGAATTATTTAGCTCATTCAATTCACTGTTGAGTCTCACTGATTAATGATAGAGAATATTGATTCTTTCAGATGATTTTGTTAAGAGCTTAATAGTTCACACAGAATTTTAGTTCATCCTCAGACTTCTTTGCAAATAGTATAGAGGTGACTGTGAGAGAGTTGCTCACTATAATAAAACTCTTATCTAAATAATCTGTAAGAGTCTTTCACAAAGCCAGTAGTTTCTCTCAAGACATATTATATAGTGAGCTTCAATAGAGTTGTTCTGTGCTACCATCAGTCTTTTTAATCAGTTCAATCTTATGATCTCTATCTGAGTCATAAAGTGGGGGTAGAGTGTCAGCAGCTTTTTTATCAAATATATTCAAAAACTCATGATAATGTTTAAGCAGCTTTTCTTTAGAGTCAATCTTTGATTTCACTTCTAGAGTCTTTTGAATGTCAGTCAAACTGACAGCAAAAATCTTGATGTTTCACTTCTCTTAAGTGCTCACAAGTCTAGAGAAGCTTACAGCAGAGATGGGAATCATGTCAGCTTTTGCATTTGAACTAGACTCTACCTCTATGCCACTCTCTTCAAATCTCACAATTCTTTGATGAGAGATCATGATTACCTTTTGCTGGGCCAGTTAGGGGTCATCTAGATATATATTATGACTATATAACTCATTCACTACATAAAAAAAGGCTCATTCAGTTATATGACTGTCTATATCAATTCAAATACCAGTTACTATACTCATGGAGAGTTTCATGAAGTCTTCAAAGCCAGTTATTTTAACAGAGAGAATTTCAATACATAGAAGCTTATGCTTATTAATATAGAATTGAGAAATAAGATCATAGACATTATATTCACTGTCTATCATTGCTCTAGTTGAAAAGGCATTATCTACTAGAGCATTGACAATGAAGGGTTTGAATATCATCTTAGATTTAAATCTTCTTCATTGCTTCTTCATAAGCTTCTTACTTTGCTTCTTTCAATGTCTTTTGATTGAAGCTACTCTTTTCCTGAATTTCTCATTCATATTCACATCATTGTCATTCAGTACCAGCTCAAGAATCATCTTAGCTATCATAAGAGTGACAGAGTATCTGAAAGGTTTGAATAAGCAGCTCTTAATCATATGACCTTCAGCTCTGCATCTCAGGCACAGGCCTTGCTCTCTTCATCAATTAATCTGTGTCTGATTTATCAATTTGATGTGATGAGTGTTTGAAATCACAGCACCAGGAGAGAGATTCATCAGATCATCAGTGAAAGCTTGAGACTGGTTTCATCAATCAAGAACAGCATGATGAAGTGAAGAGTATGAATTAGATATTGTATGATCTGAAGAAGATCTGCTCTTGCAATGTTTAGACTACTGTCTTAAAGTCTTAAACTCAGAGAGTTGATGATCAACTAATCTAAGCTTCTTGTAGTAATTCTTATAGAGAGATGATTTTCTTACACTCATCATGTCTTCCCTCAGCTTTATGCTTAAGGCAGATTTCAAATACTTCTTTTTAATGTGATCATCTCATCTGTGACTATCAACTTCTAGCAGTAGCTGATTAAATTCAAACAGAAAGTCAAAAAGAGCTCTTCTACTCTGTTATAGATTATTGAGCTTTTGTATAGTCTTTTTCTGTCATGCAAAATCACTAAAGAGCATGTGTATCTGCTTCAGTAAACTCTCTATCATGAAGTTGATCTTGTTCTTATTATTCTCAGCTCAGAGGTAAACTTGAGCTGCTGTCATTTCTTTCAGTCTTGAGTACACATATCAAGCACATTCTTCATTACTATCTAAAGCTTTCTCATTGATCTTAAGTTTTGATTGAAGCTTTAACTTTCACTGAGAGTAGTACTTCAGATTAAAATCATCATACTTCTTGCAGTTCAGTAGCTTGATCTTTGGTCTTCTGACTGCAATGAGTGATTGCAAATTCAATTGAGAGAGAGTTGATGTTGAGATGTTCAAAGCTTGTTGTAGATTAACTATTTCAGCTTGCTGAGCTGCTATTAAATCTCTGTTCTCATACTGGACCTGTTTCTACTATTGGAGAAAGGCCATTCATTGTTGTTCAAAGCTGCTGAGGGTGTCCCTGCTCATTACTTTGTGTTGATCCATTTGTGTATTTGTTGTACAAGTTTGCCACCAGTCTATTCATATATCAGTGCTATCACTGAACTTTGTGATGCAGGATTTAAGGCTCCCAATAGCCTGTCATATGTCAGCACATTTGCTGAGCTTTATGATACAGGAGTAAGACTCTCAGTGACTTATCAATGAAAGGAGTGAAGCAATTTGTAATGTAGAGGATTAAGCTCTAAGAACTAGAGGCTAGTCCTCCTATATAACAAAGACAAATTGCTTAGGAAAGGGAAGAAAAGAATGAGATGAGAACATGAGCTTAAGCAAGCTCACATAGCATGATCACATGCGCACATGCAAATGATGGCTAGGCTGAGTCAGCCAGCCAGAGCGAATCTAGGGGTTCAGCCCCTTATACATGCCTGTTTCTAGATTGGGAGGTGATGTTAAACTCAGTGCCAGGGCTAGGTTTATCTCCATCATGTGACCACACCCCACATGTAACCTAGTGGATCAGCTGTGATCCAGTCATGTGATCATGTGAGCTGTTTATAATCTGAGCAGACCCTAACACCTCTTTTTCCTCATCAACCTTAGAATTTCATTACATAGCAGTTAGCAATGCAGAGAATTTCCTTCTTATGCAGCTTGTATTCACTTTCTAACAATATATGATCTAAATCATTCTCATCTTCATTAATCTGCAGTAAGATAGATGATGAGATTTACTATTTAAAAGTATCAAGAACTCAGTCAGAATTTTATAAATATATATTACATTAAGCTTATTCTGCAGCTATTGTATCAGATTTAAAGATTTACTTTCATATAGCTGAAAGATCATGTAGAAACTGCTATTTTTCATACTTAATAAAATTATGATATATAGTATAGTTGACTGTTTTTGAATAATAATACTTATATTTTTGAAATAATAGACTATTCAGAGATTGTAGTAAATAAGTAACATGTAATGAAAATTCATATAGAATTATCTTATGAAAATTTTATGTATTGTATGAACGTCTCAGTGATATGAGATTTATGATTATTTATTAAAAGTAATTAATGACTTCTATTCTATTTCTTCTCTGTAGTAATATTAAAATATTTAAGTTATTCAAATTTAATCTCATTATTTATAAATTTAATATCTGATATAATAATTCTATAATTGCTGAGTAAATCTGTTTGTGTATATCAATTCTTCAAGTGTGTTTTGAAGATCAAGATTATCAATGATGAAATAATATGATTATTCATAAATACATATTCAATAACTATAATCAAATCTCTTAAAAAAAATGAAAAAATAATGAAATTAACTTCTTTAAAAGCAGTTATAACTCATTCTCTGCATTTTTATTCTTCTTGAAATTCAATCTTATTGAAGTTATATGTATTATAGATATGAAATTAATACTACTTGAATAGAATCTGAAGATATTCAAATTATATATTAATATATTCAATATCTTTAACTATCATTCTCTTTGAATTCATTAATTTCTGTTTCACTTTTTTATACTTAAATAGGTATTCAATGAATCTATAAGTTCACATCTTGCTGACTTTTGAAGAGAAGGTAGTAGAATTTATATGCTGATATCTAAGTATTGAATTTGTGAAATCTTTAATGTATTCAGCTGTGAGAGAATAATTCTTTTTATCAAGCAGCTTGACTCAATCATTTAATTATATTCTTCTGACTTTTATTTAATCTTTTGTTAACTGGAATCTTTGCAGTATTTGAATTCTTTTCATTGATATGTGCTCAGAGATATTGATAAAGAACTTTAAATTCTCATGACAGAGACAGTATTTTAGAATTTAGATTTTTTCAGTGATAAGTGACAGCTTTTTGAATACAGTCTTCAATATTTTTATCCTTATTTGACATTGTGGTGAGTTATTAATTGATGAAGATGATGAAGATGATGAAATTGCAAGATTTTTATCATTTTGGTGTTTTTATCATTTTGGTGTGGCACACCCACATGAGGTGTGGGTTGCGCAACGGCACGATTAACTAACTGCTAAGTAACTAACTAACACCTGAACTAATTGGCGCGCTCTGTTTCTGGCGACAAAGCCCTCCCCCTTTCCGCCCTGCAGCCCGAGTCCGAACTCCGCTAACTAGTCTAAGAACAATTAACAATACCTAAATAGGCAATATTTCATCTCATATTAAAACAGTTCATACGGAATACTCCTGTGGTCTGTTGCTTTCCGCTCAGTTAACCTGTTGCTCACTTAATTCCCCTAGTTATGTTAGGTGGGTAGTTAACTTCTGGAGGGGGGTTGAGTTTGGCTGGATGTGTTCTGACTTCATCCTCAATCTCTCACCGTCACAGAAAGTCTCCAATAGGCTCCTGTGCCACTGCGTTTCTGGATGCCCATTCCGTGCCTGAAGGAATCGGAAGTCGCAAACAAGAATAGAATCTTGGTTACCACGGGTTCGTTCCATGGTACTGCTCTGCGGTTACAGCCGTCAGTGATCCTTGGATCCTCTCAACTAATTTCAGTAGGCTCCTCCGAGGTTTGTTTGCCGCGCTGGTAGTCTGTCTGCCTGAGCTAAATCTCCCCGTCTCCAGAAATGTATGGCTCTAAGCCGCCCCATATTCCGCCCTTCTATTCTCCCATCTCTTTGGTCTCACCGCAACCCGAGTGGCAGCAGCCTCCACCCCAGCAGGCGCATGGTCCACAATGGCCTTCGGACCATGTTCCTCCTCTTCCCCCTCTCCCTCCCCCGCCGTTTCCGGCAGTGTCGCAACCAGGCGCATCTTCGTATCATCCGGGAACATATGGCCCCATGCCAGGAGCCTCGCCATCGCTTGATCAAGGTGCCCACACAGGATTCCCTCCAATGGGAGATATATCAGCCTGGGGTGTACGCTTTAACCAACGCCAGAGCTGCCAGCACCCTCAGTCAAACCTTCATGGAGGGCAATGCGCCGCTCCTCCACTGCCGGTACGTCTAGTTAGCCAATTTAAAAGAAAGAGGAAGAATGGAAGATCGAAAGAAAAAGAAAAAAAAGACTTCAAATGCTGATCGGTAACTTTAAGCCTCGCCCATCAAGTGCGATTGATCAGCTGCAATCGCAATCCCCCGCGCACCCTGCTCCATGGCTCTCCCCCACAACTCCTCCACCCCAGCCAGGTCAACAGTTTTACTCGCAAAACCAAATAATGAGTATGACCGATGCTCACCCTTATTTCCCGCAGCAGCAGCAACAGCCGTGGCAAGTCTTTCAGGATCCCAACTTCCCAAGCAACCCACAAAATCCCCCTCCCCCGCCCCCTATACCTGCAGCATACCAAATAGAACAACAGCAAAATCCTCAAGGCTGGGTGTCCCAACCAACTTACTCCGATCAACCGTCCACACACCATTATGACCCTCCGCAACAGCAACTCCAGAATCCGACAGTGACGGGCCCTCCTGTGTTGGCTCAATATGGTATTACAGGGGACGGAATGCACGGCCGGCCTCAGAGTCCTCCACCAGCAAATTCACCTCCTACTTCATTTTCAGTTATCCCCCAATCGCCCCCTGTTGCACCAACGGCCTCAGCACTAGGAATTGGTGGCCCATCTGATTGGGAACACTTTTCCGGCCCACAAGAAGAGATTGACGACACCGAAGTCTTTAATTTCAAGACTGAAACGCCTCCCAAAAGTGCCAATACTTTTGAGCTTCCTTCAGATAGCCCCCCGCGGACCCATAGTGAACAGAGTAAGCCAACTCACAACGAACTCACAGTTAGCCCACAAAGCTACGCCGTAATAGAGCCCATCCGAAGCCCATCTCCCAGTCCAACAATTAGTCCCAATAATTCGGTGAGGGGAGAGCCCAATAATAAATCTGTTCTATCCGATCGAGCTGATAGTATTGCCTCTTCTACAATTTCGGCTGATGGCTTTACGATCATTGATGGGGTTATCCAAGCATGGTCTAACACAGTGCCGTCCGAAATACCATCGCTTAATGCTACGCAAGCCAAAGAGAGCCCGCTGAATTTATCGTCACCTATCCCGAAACCCCCTCCCATCCCCTCCCTCCCCGCTCCCCGAATTCAGACTCCAGAGAATGAGGGCACTCATTCCACCACCCCAAAACCAGAGCAGTTAACGTCTAAAGCTGAAATAAAGGTTGTTGATCCAAATTCGGATCTTGACCCTTGGTATAAATCTTCTTTAGGCCGATATGTTACCATGCTCCGAAAGGAAATGGCCGCGGAATCGGACGAAGAAAGGTTCAAAATTTTTACCTATTTTCTCAACAAGGAAACTAAATTGCGTGAGATTCTTTACGGTGTAGAAGATACGACAAGCACGATTACTGTCAAGCCCATGACGAGCCTCTCGATCAGAAGGCAATCGTTAGCCATGTCTGGGCTAAACACTACTAGGCTAAACGTCCCACCGGAGGAAAGAGATGACGTTCTGGCCTACAGTCCAGGAGGGAGGCCCATTCTTGCCTCCGCTCTGTCTACGCACAACCAGCGGGAGAGGGTCTCTACTGGAGACGGCCTCCATAGATCAGCATCTCACCCAACTCCACCCTTACAAACTCGCATTCGGCAAAGTAGCCTGGGCTCACAAGAAAATTTCAGCTCTGTTTCTTCCCGGAACCACATGTCAGGTCTTCCGCGATCAGTATCTGTTCCTCCTGGAGCAGGCCAAGCAGCTGCTCAGAATCAAAATGTGACCCCACTTGTAATCCAACCTACAACGCCGGTCTACACCCCTTTCCGATACAAAGAAGGGCCGCAAAGGGGTTCAGGGCCGTTGTCGTTTGACCGACCTGCATACCAGGCTTATTCTGCTTTGCGGCAGGCATCTGTTGCTGTTGGCCGAACACTTGCTCATGCGGCTGCTGCCTCTTCTCTCGGGGCAGATTCCGGGAAATCGCCATCGGTGGGAAAGGCTGAGCATGGGGAGACATTCATTGGACTGATTAGAGAGAAAAGTGTAGCATATCGTGGCCAACATAGGGTTACCGACTCTCTTACAAAAGCCTCTTTGTCAGATACTTCATTGGGGGACAACAAGAGCACAATATTTGATTCTCTACAAGCCTTAGTTCCTCGATCATTTCCTAATCCAGCCGAAAATCCACATGTCATTGAACTCCGCAAAGAATTAGAATCTGTTCAGGACGATTTCGCTTTCATCCAAGAGTCTATAGATGAATGGGATGAGCAGGCACGCATTAAACGCCCTGAACTTGATAATCAGCGTCTAGCTAGACAAGAGGAATCAGAGCACCATATCGATAGTCTATTCAATGACAAGGAAATCGGATATTCTGACATTAACGTGTTGGAAGATGAGTTTAGGCAAACAGAAGCGCAACGACAGCTCACTGAGGAAAGAAAGGAGTTCGAAACTTTTGTCAATGGTATTTTCAATCCCATAGACCGCCAGTTGAAAGACGATATTTGCAAGCTCCAAGCTCAATATGATCGTGCTATTAACCTGCTGAATGCGAAAACTCCAGCGACTGACCTCTTACCTGTTTCGCCTAAAGTAACGAAATATGAGCTTTCACACATCATGAGGATTGCTGTGGAGTTATTCCAAAAATTGGAGGTTCGATACGATAAACAAGCGGTAGCGTCTTTGGAACGAGAGCGACGCCGGAAGAAAGCCGAACGCAGATATTATGTTTTCCTTGGAGAGACGTCATTGCTCAAACAGCTCGATAAAGATTTTGATACGATGGAGAAAACAAGTATTCTCAACGCCGCCAGAGAAAAAGACAATCGTGCAAATACACTAATGGACTCGTTCGACGATGCCAGCATGCGTGGGCTTGGAGAAAACCAAAGCCTTGTGGACGATATTGCTGGAAATGTGAAAAGGCTTGACGCACGATACCTCAATAACCTTGGGAACATACCCCCAGAAACAAGACAGACAATGAACTTGGCCTTGGACTTTGTCAAATATCTCAGCACAGACTCTCAATCTATCCTTCAGAGTTTTGGTATAGCCGACCTGGCTCTTAACAACGCAGACTATGACGTTTCCGTCTCGGAAGCCCGCGTCGCTAATGCAGAGCCAGATATCTTCCATGGCCTCGAAGAGGAGAAAAAGAAAGAAGACGTTAAAATCCACGACGACCTTCACACGCGACTTGACAGCGTGAAAATGGGCCACGAAGCGATAATGGCTAACATCCGTGGGGCCCTGAGTTGCATGAGGAGAGTAGGATTTGGACAGCCTTCGTCAAATTCGAATGGGGATGTTTGGGCGGAGCCACAGCCCCCACCTGCAGTGCCTATTTTTGAAGTACCCCCACCAGTCCCGTTGAAAACACCGGCAGTTGTTAACCCTCTGGTAGTTGAAGATGAGCAGCAGCAACGGTACCGGAAAGCTCTGGAGGATGCCAAAATAAGAAATGCCGCGAAAGGATTCGCGTGAAGATTTATTTGGAGCTCTTCATTGTTTCCATTTGACCACATTCCGGCTGGCGGTTATCTTCATAGCTAACAATACACCCCTCTTTCTGTCCCGAAACATGAATTGGAGGTTTTCATCCATCCACTCCATTACCGTCCGATCTTCTTTTACGTTTTCTGTTCTCTTTGTTGCTTTCATTCTCGCCGGGATGTAAATAACTAAGCAGGACCTGTCTTTATATCTCAACGGCTTCTTTCTGAACGGTATATTTTGTGTGTGTGTGTGTGTGGGGGGGGGGGGGGGGGGGGCATCTAGGCTTCTGATTTGTACGACTTCTTTTTTGTGTTCTTTTTGCCTGATACTATTATTTAGGCCCTTTGCATTTGTTTCACCCCTTTAACTGTTATTGAGCATTTGTTTTACTTTTGTATCGAGGCCAGTGTTGTTGTTGGGACATCGATGTCTTGGATAGATACCACTTTGTTTTCAAGTAACTTACTTGGCCAATAATCAGGGGTTTGCCCAGTTGTTTTATGTCTACATGATGAATTCTTTGGCTTGTAGTCAATCAATCACTGGTCAACCTTCATTGTGGCGAGATCATGTTTTCGAACATTCTGACTGAATGGTAATTTCAGTGAACTGAAAGGGCAGAAATTGATAGCAGGCCAAAAAGTGAGGGATTATATGTGCTTCGGAGTAAGAAATGTAATTTGATGGCATTGGTGACTCTAGCGATTTTGGTTACCCCCTGCAGACAAACTACAAGGTGACACGGTGATGAACCCACACCCATAGCTTGCGGCGCCTAATCGAACCCCTAAACACCATCAAGTTTTACGTTAGGGGCTTCCTACGGCTCTAAAATAAATCTATTCTGTGCCTTTGAGATGCTTGATGTCTTGTACATAGCCCATACGGAGTACAAGTTGTCGAGAGCCAAATCAGCGCCCTCCAACTCACACGTTTCTTCGCGTTAGACAGCACTAAATAGTAAGTACAATACGCGCAAAGAAGGAAGTTCGTTTGGGAAGACAAGCTAATTTTGAACACAGAGAGAATAAGAGAGATGTCTCTGTTGTCGGCGCATATATGATTTATATTTATATATGCCATTGGGGTCGAGTGTGTTGAATGTAGCCGCTTTGGTTGTAAATTTAGGTTGCTCAGTCGACCGTCAGACCATACTTGCTATCGAGAGGCCACTGTTGAAACTCGATTCTTTCCAACATACGACAAAAGGTCTGAAGCACCTTAAAGTTCAAGTCTTCCAGTCAGACGTGAATCACCTTCATGTGAGAATGGCACCTCGGCCCGTTAACAAGATATCCACCAAAAATCGCGTCAAAACTCTCACTCCCCCCCTTTTTTTTACCTTAATTTTTCGCGAATTTCGGAACTAGTTGCTCTAAAACATGCCACCAAATTGAGTTTTGTAAGTAAAAATTAGCAGTAGAAAGACATACAAGAACGTAGGGGTGAGAAAAGGGGCAACTCTTAAGTATAAATAGCCGCAAACACTCACAGAGAGTGTTTTAGAGAAAATTCCCAAAGGCTCTGATAACTCAGGGGGTTGTGCGCACTTTGCTTGAAGAGGGTCCCCATGTTCCCCAAGCACTTGGCGGCGCCAGCAAGTTTCTTTAACTTATCCAGACATTATCGGGTACACTAGGTGCGTCAGGCACTAAACAGATTTCTTCTGCCTGCTAAATACACACCTCTATCAAGGAATATCGCTCCAGTTACGGATCGCTTTCCCGCTATGGGAGTTTTTCCACGAAATCGCGGTTCTTTTTAGCGCCGATTCTCTCCCCCCGCCGGGCTAGTCAACTACTGATCTTAGCGTCATTTTTCTGTCGATTGGTTGAATACTTCCACCTCAGGTTATCAATTGATTGGACAAATCCGGGCGCCTAAAATTGCCCGATGGCCAGGAGATAGATGACTGCTGAGTTGCCTCTTGCTTATCTTTATGTGTGCGGTCTGCATTCTCCAGAAGCCGACCTTTTTTCTGTCTTTGCGTTCCGCACCTCATTATTCGCAACGATTTAACGGATCTCAGAAAATGACGTTCTACCAACTATTATCTCCCCTCACTTTTCCAAGCTCTGGATTTGACTTGACTGATGTCTCTGAAAAGATTGAGGAAGAATCCCCTCCGACGTATAAAGCAGAGAAGTATTACCCGGCTCGAATAGGCGAAATTTTCAACGACAGGTATCAAATCGTTGGGAGACTAGGATACGGAGTGACATCGACTTTATGGCTCTGTCGTTGATCTACAGTGCGTACATTTATTTATCATTTTGCTACAGTCCGGAATAAGTCAAATATGCTAAGTTCACTTTCACGTGAGCCCCGACATGTCGCACTAAAGCTTTGTGTTTCTTACTCAAACCCGAACCATGAGATTAGAATCTACAGTCATCCCAATTCCGTTCAATCTCAATCTGACCATCCCGGCAAAAATCTCTTTCGAAAACTATACGACTCATTCGAAGTGATTGGCCCAGATGGCACTCACGTGTGCCTTGTTCATTAACCGTTGGGTTTGGGTTGGAACAGATGCTCGACCTTCGGCCTACCGGGACTCTCGCTATACTCCCTCGAACGGCTTGCAGAAGATTTCGAGGTAGAAAACAAAAAGGGATATCTGGAGTTTCTTCAAGGGATTCTACGCTGGTTGCCTGAGGAAAGGCCGACTGCGGAAGAGCTCCTATTTGACCCCTGGTTGATGGAGGGGCTTAGAATAAGGGGAAACTACCTAGCGCAAGAAATTCTCTTTCCGAGCAGAAGTCGGGATCTCGCCCTCGAAAATGACAAAACCCGATTCCTCAGCCGCTCAATCTACGATCAGGCTAATGACGACGATGCCGTAGCGGGAGTTTTAGTAATCGGTCCTGGCATTATCCCGTAACAAAGCCGTGAGTAGTAACTGTAAAGCGCAGCTGAATCAATCAGAAGCTGGTTTTGAAGGATCTATGCACATTAAATTTACGACACTTTTTCCCATTGTAAGTCCAAACCTCAATTGTTTCTTCATCTTATCTTCGTTCATCGTCATAGCCAATTCGTTATTAACGTCATACCTAAGTTGTGCGTTAGTGAACGGTACGGCCCGGTTACCGGTCGGGCAAAAACGTGCCACTGCTGACGAGGTTGCTGGACGTCCATTTGGCTCGTGCAATGATGCGATAGCTCTGATTGAAACTAATTAGGTGTGTTATAGTGAATAGTTGGCCATAAGCTTTAAAACTGTGGGTGTTCTTTCCAAGGTCGAATCTAGCATTAATCAGTTGAACTGATGGCATGATCCAATATATATATATATATAATCAGGCCCGAGGCAGAGTGGCTGAGGAATGCTGATAAAAAGGCCAGTGACTACATCGTACAGTCAATAGCACAATGACCAAAGTAAAGGGTACTATGACCACATGAGCAGTAGGTGGAAGCAGATAAGCCAGTAGGCCTGACTGGTCCATGGATCGCGGTCCACGGACCTGGTAAGCCCGAAGATGGCAAACTTTTTTGTGACCATGCTGGCCTGTGGACGGCAGCGGCCATTGAACGGATTTGTGTGGTCCTGTGGTGACCAAGGATCCGTGATCAAAGGACCCCAGGATTTCCCGCCAATTTGGTCAATGCATGAAGCTTGGTCATTTCCCTTGGTTTTATTCGCTGCCGGCATTCGGAAGGCGCAGACAGCTTGATAGTAATCTGATAAACGTGTCAACCCGACTGACTCCCTTGCTCGCGAGCCAAAAATCATGGCCCTCACAACCACGGTTCGCTTCGTACTTCAGAAGTTAACGCCCCAGCAGTTGCAAAACATTGACGACCGACTGGAATGACGTTTGATGGTCGGTAGGTGTTAATTTCTGGATTGGTTCTCTAACGATGACGTCATTCAGGGGCATGCAGGAAGAGGACATGCAAGGGAGCTTAGCGCCTTGTCAAGGCCTCTCTAGGTGTCGAGCTATTTTGCTTCCAGCATTTTGGGGAGAAATGCACGGAGAACAAAAAATGACTATTAGAAAATTGCAGATTTACTTAAAATATAACTGATGCCCCGAGAGATTCGAATAATGGTAGGGCTAGTCATACTTCTGAAATGAAAGTGTATGGCCTGCAGACAGAAATAGAATTTTCTTCTAAAGACTCGGATTCAGAAATGCTGTATTCATATAAATCTTTTGTACTCTAACGCTTGATCAGTAGCATATTTTCTCGCCCGGTTATATAACATCCGTTCCAACCGCCTTTCGCAGCTATGCAGATGATGAGAATCTATATACGTGTATACATGAAATGTCATATAACCAGGATCCTCTAATTACTCCCCTGTGAGTATTAGACACCTTGTGGGCGCTTCTCCCTTGTAGACCCTTGGGGTGCATCAGCAGTTCAAAACCTCAAGTTCCTAAGTTGAAACCTGTACACTCAGGAATTAGACGAGAACACTAGACAAGCAAATCTCCAATTGGGTTTAGATTGTCCGCATGGGTGCGGATCTGTTGAAGGCTGTCAGGAGCAGAGTTTCGGAGACAAGCAAAAGAAAGACGTGAACCTCCTTACCCTGACTTCCTTCTGACCCTGGTAACTTCACTAGACCGTACAGGTGTTGGTCAGAGAAAACCACCAGGTCAGATTGTGGGCACAAGACTTTCAGTTCAGACTCATCCAGTGCAATATTGCTATCAAAAGAGGGGAGGTGATTTTCTGAGATATATCCAGAAGGGAAGAGAAGCTCAGGGAAGTGTGTGAGTAAACAGTGGTTTAGGGATGAATTGTGCTGAGGGCAGAGAAGCTGCTCAGAGATGAAGTTCATATCTACAAGCCATGCTTGTAGGAGGGGAAATTGTAGCTGATGAGAATTAAATTCAAATGTGCTTATTGTTCATCCTCTCACGTCCAAATCAACCAGGAAAGTAGGGTCTCTTATATACTCAATGTACATTATTCTCCTCATCATCTAGGGCCAAGAATCCAGTTCCAGCTATCCCTGATACAGCAAATAGCATTACACTGTGCTCAAATGGCAAGGATGAATCAGTGATGTTGAAGCCAAGGAGTTCTCTGTTATCTTCTTCTGTCTGGTCAAGCAAGCAATTTCCATGTGCAGCTCATGCGGAACAACTCTTGCTCTTAAAAAAAAAAAAAAAAAAAAAAAAAAAAAAAAAAGAAGGGGAATTGACTCATCAACAATTCACTGATGTGATTCTGCTGCACTATACTTACTTGTCACAGCCACATCAGCTGGACAGTGATGCTCACCATGAATTGAGTTAACACTGTAATACAGCCATCACCCCCACGTAAAAGGCAGACCACAGAAAGTATGAGATGGACAATTCACATGTATGATTCTGTTTCCATTTATGGAATCTTCCATGCAGCTGACAAGTATGAGTATTTTGAAAGTGCCTTCATAGAAAACTGCTACAGGAAGTGCAGGCTCAACAAGAGCTGGTTTTCATCTCTTGCATTCTTTCATGCACCATCCGTCCTTACAATGGCCTCCGCGGCTGAGCCGCGCAGGAATATCGAATGCTGATAATCAGACAGATAGTCACTCTTGCAGAAATTACCCCTCTCCTCCTGTGGATTTACCAGGTTTCTCCGGAGAGGCTGGAATGTGAAGGATTGCAGGATCCCCCATATGGGCCAAATGAGCGTCACACCATCACCGGGCCTGATACAATTGAAATGAGATGAAGGAGGCGCAGCTTCAGGACAATCTCCCACGCATTGAAAAGTCCCTGATCGCCCCTCTCTGATTCACTGAGTTGGTTTGATGATGGTGGGATGATGGAATTCAGAACGAAGGAGGTTACCACATGCAGGGAAACCGCTGAGGTGCATACACACCAAATGCCAAGATTGCAGACAGGACAGAGGTTCACAGCCTATATCTGTAGAGTGGGGCATTTTCACTATTGGCTATGAGTTCAGATGAGAAGGATTGAATGCATAGCAATCTCTCCCAAACTGACAATGAAGGCAGGGTGAGTATTCAACAAGTTCAGATAGAGAATCCAGTCTATCTGCAAGGTGTTCTCATCCAAAACCGCAGTTCAATCGAAGGGAGACAACACGCCGCGAAAGCAGGGTTGAGAGGGTGTTGTGCTCATATGAACAATTTCTGATATAGCTGCCCAGCTCACCTGGGCTGGTCCACCTGTGTGGTTGAAAGGCGAAAACAGAAATCAGCGCAGTGCGCAAGGTTGCAGAGGGAGGGAGAGTGTCTTGAGAGATTTCTCTTCTGCAGTGATTCTCAGGGGAACATGGACAAGTGGTGAAACAGATGGAAACCCAGTCTCACAGTGCCAGGCCAGATGCTCGCTCTGTTAGACCACCAGTTGAAAAGGGTCAGAAACAGCACAGCGCGGCACAGAAGAGCCTGCAGTTCCAGGCTCAGACCAGGAGCAACGCGATGGCAGCACCAGCATCGTCAGTAGGTGCTGGAGAGCCAATGAGCCGGGTGGAAAGGAGGAAGGATTGAGAGGTGATGCCATTGGGACAGGGGGAGGGTATGTCGGCGAACGCTGCTGGAGAGAAGGGGAGGGGAAGTAAGAAGGGAAATGGAAGAAAGTCAGACCAGGTTTACATAGGCGTCGACGGCTCTGACGATCGCGAACATCACGGCCACAACGCGGCGAGTAGAAGGAGGCCAAACCCACGAGGGGCAGCGCGAAGCAGCAGCGGCAATGCAAACCGAAATTATATTTAAATTTTATTTAAAAAATACGTATTTTAATCAGCTTGTAACATAATAAGTTTATTATTAAATAAAACTTTAATATTTTTTTAAAATTGATGAATAAATTAAAAATTAGAAATTAATATAATATGTAATTAATATAAAAAATTTTAAATTAAATAATTTTTATATAACTAATTAATAATTTATAAATTTAATATAAATTTAAAGTTTTTTAAAACTAACTTTTATATTATAAAAATGATATTTAAAGTTTAATAAATTTCTATTTTTTATTTACTATTTTATATAATTTTAAATTAAATATAATATTATATATATTTTTAATTTTTAAGTAAATTTTTTAATTATAAAAACTTATAAAAATATATAAACATAAAATTTAAATAATTTTAATATAAAATAAAAATATAATAAAAATATAATATTAACTAATATAAACTGCAAATAAAAGTATTTGATTTTATTAAAAAAAAAGAATTTTTAACTAAATAGTCATAATATATTAAAATTTAGTTAAGCTATTACTTATAGATTATACAGTGAACCAGATAGGTGAATTTATGAAATCCCTAGCAACGTTTGCATTTATTAATTTCATAGAGAAGATAAGACTGATAGGAATTAATTAAATTTTTGCGGAATTGAATATTTGCGGCATAGAATACGTATATAAAGAGAATATATAAAACGACAGATAAATAAATTGTGTGTTGTGTTTTGAATTTTACGGTTATGCTTTGTTATGCCTTCCCTTATTCCAGGAAATCAGCATCTGATTTTGTAGTTAATTTTTATTTGAAGGATTTGAGCTGATGAGCGCCGCAGCATTGGTTGGGGGTGCGGGTTACTCTATCACGTGATCTATATACATAAATATGTTCATAGTTTAGAATTCTACTGAGCTAGTTCAATACAAGAGAACGGATACATAACCTTGCCTCCCATGTACCGCTGAGCCTCAACGACCGTATTGCATACGGTATGATACTGTACACACACAGCTTTGTGTAATAGGACCATGCCCCGTTCGGCGCCTCTACCAACCCGGCAAGGTAATCATCCCAACAACTGCTAGCAACGGCGGCAACAGCAGCAGCAACTACAACTACAACAATAACAACAACTACTACCACTACCACTACTAACTACTACTTACAACAACAACAACCGACTGCTCCACCACCTACATCCAATCCCTAACCAGCAACCAGTCTTCTGTTACTCTCCTGAATCACCGTCTCTTGCCTTCTAAAAGCCTTCCATTCGGCTTCGAACCTCCAATTCCTGGTTTCCTCGTTTCCTCCCCTCATCCCCGCTCCCCACTGGCTGCTCACCCGTTGTTCCCAGCCTGGCGCTGCACAACAGTCAGCCGTTTTCTCGCTGCCATTCCAGACAACATCCCCCTGTGTCACTCTGTCACTGTGCCACTGTGCCACTGTGCCACCGTACCCTTTGTCCCTCTCCATCTGGAGATTTGGTTCTGTGTCTGCCTCCTGGAATCTAATTTAATTTTTCTCTTGCGCCGCATCCTTACTACAGCCCGTTCCTATCCCTACGAGTCCAATCGAATCCCCCTTCCCGTGGATGTAGCAGTGCCTCAGTTCCCGTGACCGCCACTCAGCCTCTCCGTATTCAATCCACTATACCCTCCCTGCTTTCCCCCGAGTAATCGCCAGACATCCGCCGCCTATACTCCTTGTAACCCATCCTTGTCTTCCGCTTTGGGTTTCTTGTTTTTCAATTTTCAATTTTTTTTTGTCGTTTTCATCTATGGACGTATCCCTAGCCCATTCCAGCCCCCATCAACCTCTATCTATCTTGACTAGTTAATCCTCTACAGCCCCAGTCCAGGGAAAAGATCGCAAATCCCTCAGCTTGCGCCACACTGGCTCCACGGGTTTCAGGCGCATCCCAGTTCGCCCCAGTCGAACCTCCAAGGTCTCCAAATCGGAGTCAAGTAAGTCCATGCTCCGGCTTTCCTTTTCTCGTTAATCTCCTTGTTTTTCGTATGCGGTTCTGTTTCTTTGATCTTGTCCCTGGGCTCGGATGTTTCAGCGTCGTTTCATCTCCTCCCTTATCTATCCGTGGCCTCGCCGTTTGCTAACGCGGTTCACCTCTTTTTTGTATTTTTCTCCATGTTTTGTATAGTCCCTGCATCCCCTGCTGTATCCAATTATCCACCCAATTCCCCAATGCTTCCCTTTAACGTTTAACCCCTTTGGTAGATTTGTAGCTTTAGCCATTTGAAGCACAGATAGATCGTCCTATTTTCACCCCTTTGCCAGTCTCTTCACCAACTTGTTAATTCGTCCCGAATCACGAATCCGCTCCCGTGCAACCTCGTCTTGTCTAATCCTATCGCTTAACCCTCCACGTTAACACTCACACAACCCACCCTAGTCTTCACCCCAACTAACATGACTTCTTCATTAGCCACTCGTGTTATCGCTCTTGAAAGCGTGAATTCTCATCAATACTCCTCTTTTCACAACCCTGGTCCTCGCAATCATTATTTCATGGCCGGGCCCGTTCAAACAGGTTCGGACCCAGTCACCTTTCACAATCCGCTTTCGCGAACACCGAACCCAGTGGTATCGTCTCCGTCTTCTATCGCAGCCACCTCAGGCCCCATATCCTCTTTCTTGAAATCTACGGAACCCAGGAGTGGATCTAGTCTCAGCTCAATCGCCACTGCAGGATTACGGACTTCTTCTTCGCCAAACATGGTGTCTAGTTCGCGGTTGTCACCGCAACCAGTGACAGCGAGCAACCCGCATCGTCGTCAGGATGGACCGCGGGAGCGCACCTCTAGCGAACAGAATCATAGCGATGGGAGCACACCGCTTCCAGATGGTGCAGACGAACGAAAAGACAAAAACCAGGGAGGTTCGAAAACCGCTGCCATAGCAATCTTAACCCCAACAGATCCGCTGGATGGTGCTCCAAAATCGATTCATATATCTGCAGAAGACTCAAGGACTGATATCCATGCGCGACGTGCAAGTTCTACTGGCCTGTCGGATGGGTTTGATACAGGAGATATGTCGGTGCCACAACTACCCTAATGACAGTAGAAACGTTGCCAGCCCTGGGCCTATTGAGGAAGCCAAATACCATGGAAAAATGAACGAAACGCGACGCAAAGAGGAAGACCTCGTGATGGAGGAAAGGAAACAAATCTTTTCTCTTTACCCGGTTCCGATGCCTGCGTCTAACATAAAACGATCCCTAGAAGAGGAATGAGTCTTCCCCCATTCAGGCTTCAAAGGAAGTCCCCGATCACCTTCCGTGAAGAAACACAGATGCCACCATTGCGCAACTGAATTTACTCGCCACCATAATTTAAAGAGCCACCTTCTCACCCATAGCCAAGAAAAGCCGTACGTTTGTCAGACATGTCAATCACGATTCCGGCGACTACACGACTTAAAGCGACACACGAAACTTCATACTGGCGAGCGGCCACATATATGTCCAAAGTGCGGTCGTCGATTTGCTCGAGGTGATGCGCTGGCGCGACATAACAAAGGTCAAGGAGGATGTGCGGGGAGGCGATCTAGCCTGGGAAGCTTTCTTGGTGATGATGAATACGGTGATGGAGGCACTCCGGGTGGAGAAGATGGAATGGAGGGTCTTATGTATACCGAGCCGGATCGAATGGATGAAGAGGAGGAGAAACGTGCAAATATGCCCAGCATTAAAAAGCACAACCCTCCAGATTTTCAACGGACGTCAAGTGCCGGGCATGTATCCTTTCAGTCCCACCAACCTAGTACCTACCCCCCTCTAGCAACCAGTCGACCCTCACAAGGTAGCCTCTTTCCACCAGTCACAAGCCATCCAGGCTCCAGTTCGTCCCCTTCCCCCATCTCGCAATCTGGGAACGTATCTTTACCTCCAGGAGGAGGTTGCAGTTCCTCTTCGGGCTTCAATACCCAACAGCATGGCAGCTCAAGTTCTGTCTTCGCGCAGAACAGTATGACTGAAAGTCTCAAACCTCTATCGCCGAACGTAATCCCAACTCGTCAACTGAGCCACGGATCGGATCCTAATGTTCAACCCTCACGAGCTTTATCCCCTAATTTGAAGCCTCAGAACCAACAACAACCACAGCAGCAGCAGCAGCAGCAGCAGCAACAACAACAACAACAACAACAACAACAACAACAATTCAGCCGAAATAGCGTCCCTGAAAACAACAGCGGGCCTTCCCAGATTCTCCCGGGTCCGCAGCTCCCTCCCCCGCATGGCCTAAACAGCTCAGATACCCGATTCCCACTCCCCAGTCCGAACTCCGGCCAAACACAGGGTCAACTTCACTCAATGTCTTCAGCCTCGCCCCACCTGCAGCCGCATCCCCACACCAACGCAAGTACAGATCCAAACTACAACAACAACCTTAATAATAATAGTAATAATATGTTCTCTCAACAAAGGCAGCCACCATCGTCATCACACCCTAATGCCCCGCCTCCTCCTGATAGAATATGGGCGTATATGCGAACACTCGAAGACCGTTTAAATGGTCTGGAAGAAGAAGTCGGCAGACTTCGGAACCAACTAGTTTCAACAAACAACAATGCTAGTGGGGCTGCCAATGGCTCATAGATATAGGTGCATCTATACATACATGTTGCTCCTGGCCTTCTCCGATTCCTGGGAGGGTGGAGATCAAAGCCGTCAGATGGTTGAATTGATCAGCAATAATTATACATTGGGGAACTTTTATTTGGAATACGTATGGATTGGACAATTCCATTGCATTGATGAGTGATATTTAACTCACTCTTTTTAATTGCGGCTTGAGGTTTGAGAAAGTAGCAGTGGTGAAAATAAGAAGGGATAGAATGTCATTATGGCAGTATTGTATTAGTGAAACTATTTTCGTCTATTATTTATTCCCCATCATATATTCTCACTTCTCTTCTCTTTTCTCTTTTGTAGAGTTTTTCTTCCTCCTTTTGGATTTATCTATTCTTCTTTTTGAATCTTTCTAGCTTTCATTTTCCCAACCCCTTGCCAATATTCTCTCTTCTGCATATATTTCCTTTGCATGACTACTATTCTTCTCTGATTGAGTTGGTGGATTGGGCACCATGTCATATACCTATATATATCTCATACTTCATACTTATTTTTCACTCTGTTCCCATTTATTTGGGTCTCCTTGCTTATGCATGCCGCCAATTGTACCCCCATCCCTCTTATACTTATTTTCCAACCTCTTCTTCCTTTTCTTCCTTTTCTTCCTTCTCTTTAGAGTTTTTTTTCTTCCTCTTTGCTAGTTGATTCTCTCACTTAACTCCTGGGATGGTCTATTTACTCTTTTGTATATTGTGTATTGCTTCTTGCATTGTGTCTTAATCTCCTCCGTTTTAATACAATGTTTACAATTTCAAACAGGATAATTTCGGCTCCAAATGCTCTCTTTTTTCCCCTCTTCTTCTTTACCCTTTTTATTCTGTATTCCACTCCTACCTTGTCCGGGTGTGGAACATGGTGCTGTTGTTTATCCATACGGTATTCTAGATGATAAAGGACAGTGAGGAGGGCTGTCTGCCTGCAAAGACGGGTATGAAGATATATATATACGTACATATGTAGTTCTAAATATCGGATGCTAATGCGCAAGCATCCTGTGGCGTTTTCGATTTTGGGGCGAAATGGGAGCGGGGTATGGCAATGACATAGTCATATTCAAAAATTCTGAGTTTTGGATTTATTTTGACAAGAAATTGCACGATTATTTCGAGTAATTATAATACTTTCTGTTCTGTTCTTTAATATGTTTGCTTTCAAACTGCTGGATAAAGTGGCCCTGCTTGCCTTTGACACTTAGAAGACTAAACAAGACGCTCCCATAAATGCGCAATTGAGAAAGGGAGATGGTTGACTGACTGCGTTCATTCGGCGCCCGTATCCTCTCCAGCAGCCGGCTTCATCCCCCTTCTCCCATCAACCCACTGCATAAAAAGCCCCACATTCCTCACAATAGCCCTGGGTATACCACCCAGCGTCCAGCTCTGCTGCACAAAGGCAGGGATCCAGCCACCGGCATTAGAGCTGGTGGCCATTGTCCACTCGACCTGGGTGGACTGGGCAATGGTCTGGATGAGTTCGACGGCGGCGTAGTTTGAGAGGATGGTATTCTCTGGCGGCGAGAAGACAGGGATGGCAGCGGGTTGGATGGGGAGATGGACGTTTATGTAGCCTGTTGGTTCGGCTGGGAGCTTGGCGGGGAGGAAGGCGCTTATGTATATGATGGGGAATGCGCGGTTAAAGAACAGGGATGTCGGTTCGAAGGTGTGGATTGACACTTTAACTGGGTGTTTTGGAAGGTAGGAGTTAGTATATGGTTAGAAAATAAGAAATAAGAAATAAGCAGTAGATTTTACTCTTTTGCTTACCGCAGGCCGTCACTCCGCTCCACCCTCCCTCGATATCCAGTCCACTACAGTCCCACTCCGCAATGGTCTCTGCACTATTCAAGCTCTGCACGTACTGCGACTCGTTCTCGAAATGGTTATCCTTCAGAGCATGCACGAATTCCTCAAAGGATGCAGTTCCCTTCACCGCACAATTTTGATGGACACTTCTACGAGCAAACCATTTATCACCCTTCTTGCTTGATCCCGGATTCTCGATAGTCCTGGATGTGGATTGGGTAGCGCCACTGAACAATTTCACCTGCGCTGTTGAGTGGAGTGCGTGCCGCAGTTTGGGATCTGCGGTGAATGTCTTTCCGGGAACGGTTTCTGTTATGAATGTATATGCCTGAGTGAGAGTGGTGTGGAGGAATTCTGAGAGAGAAGGGTGGGGATCAGTTGTTCCAGCATTGGATGATAGGGGTAGGGCGATGGATGGGTGGGCGGGGATAGCTGAGGGTGAGAGCGGGATTGGGCGAATCAATGAGGGTTTTGCGGGAGGAGGCATGGTATATCTACATATAAGTACGTATGGATATATGTGCAGATGTTAGTTGGAGAAGCAATTTCTAGAGGAAATTTAGGGTGTAGATACAGTTAGTTATTGAATTGGATGTTGTTTTCGAACTTCTGACTAGAAACTGCTCAGCACGGCTCAAAGTGATGGACATATATACATTTTGTATGCTACGCACGGAGATATATTCACCTTTGCTGACCACCCCAAGCCCGTATAACCGCTTGTTAATAGTATGGTTAACTATACGCAGTAATATATCAGTATCTTGTTTGTAACCGTGCACTTCAGCCTCTGCCCGCTAAAAGGCCCACTAAATGATGGCTAAATGGGGCCTGGACCCACTTGGGGCTGTGGGTGGGAGGGGACCTTCCCGGTCTGACCCTTGAAACCCGAGCTTAATCGGACTGCATCCGACCTCCATTCTACTATTAACTCCGTACCTTGGCACTTAACCGCCGACTGACTTCTTTAACTATTACTGCAGTGGAGATGTCCCAGATGAGCCGCTTACGCACGTGATATGTCTAGTTCAGTAGGCACCAATTAAAAAATAATGCAAGCTTCAATCTTTGAACCGACCTATCTTAATTTATATTCAGTAATTATGAGCGTAACGAGCTTTCTTTTATTTGTATTTCTCTATATTCTTCTTTAGAACAAAAGGTGTCTCGCCACACTTCAGTCAAACTCTCAAACATTTAAAGGTTATGATCAACTGTTCGTCAGGGATTTCATGATTGAATACAAGGTTCCGTTCAGATATAGAAATTAAAGTGCTATATTGAATAAGCGACATTGGCTTCCATAAACCGATCTTGGGTATATACAAACAAACCAATACAAATAGACAAACAACTTCCTTCCAACGACGTAAAGGCGCCATATCTGGCACAGTTAACATGCAATGAGAACAAAACGTGGATACGACATTTGGAAACCTCGCCGCTCACCCCCCAACCCCAATCTTTTTCCCGACAGGCAAACCAAGACGTGCTAATAGATGAAAAAGCAAACAAACAACAGTGGAAGGGAGAGTGGACAGGCAGGTATATCAATCAGCTGACCCCATTGTAATAGCTCTGAGGAGGTTTCTGCGCAAACATGATGTGGAACGGAAGATACGAATGTATTGACGAATCCTCCACAGACTTCCGAACACCGACATTGAAAACCTCCATCTCCTGCAACGTCCAGCCCAACGCCTCAGCAGATGTCTTCATGCTTATCCCTTGCAATCCGTCATTGATCACGCAACGATTATACCTTCCGATCTTCTTCAGCTTTTTGTCTCTCGGCCATGTGCCAATGGGCACTTAAAAATTTCGCTCGTTAATATTCGTAAATCCGGCGTCTCGAATGTATCCCGGGTGTTTCGTGGGGGACAGGAGGTCCACATTGAACCTGGCGAGTCCTTCTTCCATTAACTGGAGCGATTTGGCCAATGTGTACTCGGCCGGCAGGGAGTCGTCGTCGCATTGGGGCTGGAAATATAGGTCTTGGATTTCAATCCATCCACCGGGTTTTAGTTTGCTACAATTCCGAAGATGGCAAGATCAGTTCTGAGACAAGGATATAGCCAACCATATACTGCACAAAGTAAATTTAAAAAAAAAAAAAAAAAAAAAAAAAATCTACTCATATGCAGCTTTGAATAGCTTTGGAAAATCTTTAATTGACGACGTCAGATGTCGAAGATGGACGAAATCGAAGTGGTTGTCTGGATGAAGCCATGCGCACCCCGCAACATCAACCATAAACCTCACATTGGGAGGAACCCAGAGAGGCTGTATAGGGCTTTAAGTCAATGCCGAGGATATTAGCGCAAGGGTATTCATCACCCACTACATCGAAATGCGGTTGCTAGCAGCCGCAAAAAATATATATATGTACAGTATTATATATAGATGGATGTAGATGTTGAATGAAAAAATCAGGCTGCTTGATATCCGTACTGTCAATGGCCCAGACGCCCGTTCCGGTCCCGATATCAAGAATCATCTGTAGGTTCTCAAACGGAGCATAGTGCAACTTCCCCCCGCAGAGATTAACAATCATGGAATGTTTCATATCTTCGCGCTCCTGTTCCTGCTCATCGTTGGGAAACAGGTATATGCCCTCATGATATTTATGAAATCTGCGCCCGTTTTCAAAGGGGATGTTGTAGGCGCTTGAGGCTAGCGACGTCGAAGCATTCAGGTCGCTGTCAGTGGCATATCCGTCGTCGCTCTCGTTTTGTTCGTTGCGGATCTCGATGGTTGCCTCTGTCTGGAGGGCACCGCCGCCCTCGGTGGTGGTGGTGCCCTGGGCGTGTTCCTCCACGGTTTTAGAATGATGCGTAGGGGATAGAGAGTGGGGTGAATTGCTTGTCATCTTTTTAGTAGGGCCGTTATAGGAGACATTTCAAGAGCGTCCATATATATATATATATCCGTGTAATGTGGATGTGATAAGGAGGCTTGAAGTTAACTAGGACATTCGAATTTTCCGTGTGTATTATCCAAATGCGGAAACAAATCACCAGCCATTGAGGGTTCTGAGGAGCACAGATGGCGCTGGAGGCGTAACTCTAATGGAAAGAGGATGACAGTTTGATCAGACAAATGGGAGATGCTTGGTTCGGCGGGGAAGAAGAATCATGCATCCATGTACTATGGATGCAACTGGCTAGCAAGAAAAAAAAAGCAAAGGCTTCATATGGTGAGGACCGTTAAGTAATACCTAGCAACTGGCTGTTGGGAACAGGTTAATTACCGAATCCATATCGGGATCTTGAGAGCAACTGCACACGCAAAATTGGCCATAAATGTGACGAAAATACCAACAATAGAAGAGCCAAGAGGAGGAAAATCAAAGGATCTATGACACTGTGCCTACGGCTGATTTACAGTACAATTGGAGTTATCCAACAAATTTATAGTTAATACATTTAAACCACAATCCTGTAGTTTATTGTTGTAAAAGTCTGAGCGGACATCATCATTCAACAATGTCAGAGTAGGGACCACTTTCACTCTATCAGCTTACTTCTGTTATTACGACTCTTCATGATATCTTGCAATTATATCATGGACACTGTGAGCAACACCATAGGTGAACTGCGTGTAACAGACATACAGATGAATTGCTTAGTACAATTCCTACATCTGTAGTCTTCTGGATGCAACCAAAACATCCTACCATCCATTCTCAACTCTTCAAGGCAGTTCAGCCAGGAATGCCAGATCTAGATACTTTATCGTATTAGTACCATCCGTACCATTGTCGGCAACATGGGAGATTCCGACGGGAATCCGTATTCTCACACTCGCCGCTAATGGCTCCACTCATCGAGGCCGCACTCGCGGTCCAGGGTGTCAAAGTGAATGCCATAGAGAGCACCATTGAGTATTCTTTCACCAATTCCAATCTCTGCCTCGAAGCTCTCTGGATCGCAAGTCCAATCACAGGAGAGGGAAATACAAAGCTCGCCCAGGCTGGAGATGATGCTGTAAAGCTGGCTCTAGCTGTGTCTGGATTTGAGAATGGTTATTCCAGAGGGATATCGGCGATGGGCTCGTCCGAGACAAAAGACATAATATCAATGAATAGAGTCCCGGCTGACTTGTCTTTCTGGAATTTCTAAAACCTCCCCAGGACAAATCAGCGAGATAACAAGTGCGAGAGCATTAAACTGCCACCTGGGGAACAAGGGGTTCGAAATTGAGCTACAGGAACATATGATTCGGGAAATATCCAGTGGCGACATCTCAACGGAAACTATGGCTACCACAGTCGCAGCCCTCTCGGGTGCCGTGTTTCTAGACAGCGATAAAAATTTATCCATTTTATTGCGCGTGACGGATATTCTGGGATTGTCGCCTGAGACATGAATGAGTTTGTCCAAGCAGTAACATACCCCTTGCTGATTATCTTAAGTCCTCTGCGTCGCTTAGTACTCGTTCCTAGCGCTCTTCAGTTATCAATGAGTATTAATAAAGGCTGGCACCTCATGTACTAATTTAATTCATCAGGCTCCGATCGCGAAAGGGAGACTCAGGATCTGGAAGGACCCACGAGATCAATCTCTATGGATAAATATTGGGGTTGTTCAACGGACTGCTGGTCAGTTTGTGGTTCGAAATACTGCGAAATCAGGGAATAGGAGGGGGGCCTTCTGCGGCGGGAGCAGATATTAATTCAGCGAAATGCGACTAACAAACGGAAAAAAGGACAAAATAATATAAAAATGCATTCCGATGTTGTCGTGGTAGATGAATTTACGAGCTGGATATATCGTAATTTTCAATGAAGTCAAAACAGCTTTCCAGAGCCAAGGTGTAACAAATCCATGAAAACCCTTTCGTTACATATTCGATATCACAAAGGGGTATATAGTCTGTGTCAATATATATTCTCAAACACGCCGAACGCCGGGGCCTACACTACCGGTGTCAAAAAGCTCGATAAGGCCCGCACCCAGAGCTTCCTCTAGAGCCCACCGGAAGTTCATCCCATAAAGCTCTTTCCATTTCTTCGTTTTTCCAGGCAGGACGCCAGAGAATTCACCCCGCGCTCGCTTGGCGACGCTGTGATGTGCGTCGGACTCAACAGCCCCATCCCAACGGTCTCTGAGGAGGGTTAAGGGAGCTTCTCCGGACCTGGACTTATTAAGAAGTACCATTATTTGTGCCCGGCCCGCTCCAAGCAGGCGGAGATAGGGACCTAGGTTCGGGATAGAAAGAAACATGGTGGTGTCTAAAAATCTTCTTTGTGCAGATTCTACTGTCTCTTGCTGTGATTGGCATGTGTTCGAACACTGGCTTCTTGCTGCCGATGGGAGGGAAGCAAGAGAAGTATCAAAGGATGGGTGTTTAGCTAAAGAGGAGGGAGACACAAGGAAACCAGCTCGAACTAAAGATGATGTCTCCTCCGGAGAGAAGAGATCTGCTGAAATAGCAGATGACTTGGTATTTCCTCGTAAAGTTTTTAGAAATTTCCCTGTATGGATGAGTTAGAGCGACTTGATGGGAAATGAAATTTAAAATAAAAATAAATTAAAAATTAAAAAGAAAGGAAAGAAGGGGGGGGTGAGCGGGTATCAATCCTTTCTTCCTCACCCTTCAAACCATCACCTATGTATGAGCTGACCCGAACAATCTCCTCCCAGTCATCAATTAAGACTAAGCAATCTCCCAGACCACCGGAATCCAGTCCCCGCCCGGGGATAAACAGCCTTCGAACTTGACCGGCGTTGACGAGTTCGACAATCTCTCTCTCAACTTTGGTTGGCGCATTCAGCAGCATTTGAACATGCGCAACGGAAACAATCGGTGGCAGTGCGCGGCGGAAATTCAAGACTTCCGCTCTCCGGGTGCTGTTCATTCCCGCCCTGTCCGGCAAGTCACTGAACATGGTGTTGCGAATATGCTGGATCGTTTGGATTACATTATTTACTACTGTTGTTTCGGAAATATACTTGGATGGGCCAATATCGGGTAAGTAACTATCCTGGTAATATTCATGGTGAATGCCATTCTCGCTGTCCAAGGCCGTTTTGCCCAAGTCCTGAGAACGTGCGGCGTTGGGACTTTGTAAAGGTTTGGCTCGAGTGTGACGGGCGAATGGCGATTGTCGTCTGGATGATGGAGTGCTTGATGGTTTCCTGATGCGCGAAGACTGGGCAGCAGTGAAATGAAGCGGCATTATGGAAGGATACGGAGGGACAGCAGGTATTGGTAGTTATTAATATTAAATAAGGGATTAGAACAGTGATGCCTTATTTGTTCACATGATTGCACGTATATTGAGTTGGCACAGTTTAGTCAAGGTATAGTTAGAGTTAGTTAATAGATAACTAACTAGTTACATCAACAAGCAAACCCTCCTCCCCCTGGTAGTTAAATGACTAAAAGTTGCCTCGCCACCCACCATCGACCGACCTTCTGAAATCGCTGGAGACGGGCTTCCAGGTTGCAGCGTCCCCAGGCCCCGACCTCTCCATCTGGCACGCGGTCTGTCCCTTCTCTCCTATCTACCTCGAGGCTACTCCGCACGTCAATACCAATCTCTAGGTGGGTAGTAAGTAACCATAACTAGCAGTCTGCGACTGGGCCGAGTATGTTTCCAACTTTCGAAACGTGAATTTTCTGAATAATCTTCGCCAGATATCTCTGCAGCCTTCTCTTCTGAGTTTTTTTACAATGTCCGTTTAAGCTACGCGTTGTTTTGCTGTTCGCCTTCACACGCAAGCGCTGTCTTCGCCTTCTATAATAATGACGTCAAAAAGTCATTAGCTCATGAAACTCGGCCAGCGTCTCACACAGGAACATATATGTATCATCACCAAGCAACTTTGGCGAATTCACTTGGCTTGGAAGGTATTTACGTCATTAATTACCGTCTTCTTCGTGCATATATACCTGGTTACTAGCTATTTTGAAAATCCTTGTGCTTACTTGCCTCTTTCTTGACAGTAACAAGACTCGGCAGACGGTTTTGATTGAATCCGCGAGCCACTTTCGCATCACCAATGAGAAGGATGTCTTGAAGAAGCTCCAGTCCAGAACTCTCCATATTCGTCCTTTGATTGATGAGATAGTTGACCCGGCCGACCCACCTGCCATTGTGCTAAATATATCTTGAGGATGAATAGGAAAGAAATCAGATATGTATCAAAGGGGGTGCTCGAGGCATTAAAAGTGTTTCATGGAGACGGCTATGTGCACACAGGTCAGACTTGATTCCTGAACATATCTTTAAGGATATTGAATTCTAATGAAAGGGAACAATCAGATATCAACATGGACAATATCATGGTGAACCATGCTTCGCCTTCTCAGAGTCATGAAAGTGGACAGCGGCTCACAGACGTTCAACTTGCACATCTTGATAGCACAGTTTATATAACATATGACCTCAAAATTTCTGCAGGAATGGTGATGGAATTGGAACACCCATTTGGCGGAGCCCAGAGGCGCAATTAGGACTTATATTTGGTCATTTTGGGACAATGGGGTACCTATAACACACCATCCTGCTTAACAGATCTTGATTTGACTGATCTAATACCAAAGGCTGTTATATCCACGATTTGAGGTGATAGTTTCTTTATCCTCAAGTCCAAAACTTGGACTTGTCATTTGATGGTGTTCCCATCGAGGCAATGAATCCTTTTTCGTTGGCTAGTCGGCGAGAGATTTCAACAGAAGACAAGCAGTTTATCTTGAGGATTATGAGACTTGATCCAAGAGACAGACCAACCGGAGATGGGTGGCTCAATGGAATATAACCTAAATAACCTAACAAAAACTTCCTCTGTTTTCCCCATCCAGCCTTCTCAGAAATGGCTTGGGCTGGTGAGCGGCTGCGACTTTTAACCATTCCCTCTCTGTCCAAAGAGTCTTGTAAAAGAAGTGATGTTGGCAATGACCCAAACATATCCACCATTCCATGAAGATGATGCAACTAGGCTCTACAGTAACCGCCTGCTTAAAAATCTCTCTCAAAAGATGCACGCAGCACGAAACGCTTTCAGAACAGCACGCCCCTAAGTCCCAAGGAACTGTTTTAGGGGCAGGTTTTGCGGCATAGGTTTTTAACTAGGATTTTTAGAACTTCTAGTTGTTAGATTTACAGCAACAAGCGTGGATAGGTACATACATGTACAAGGATTCCACACAAATGTTGACCTAGACAGATACCGAATGGCACACCAAACACCACTCTTCAGTCCTGAATCATTCTATTGATGGCGCAACAAAGTGGCCTTTGTGCATTAATATAATTGCTATATATATGTGTGTTATGTATGTATGTACCTGGGAAGTTTAACTAATACGACATCCCAGATTCGGATCTTGCCCCACAGGAAAAACCACGAAGCTTGTTATTGATCAATCCTCAAAATCCCAACTTAAAAGGATGTTTCCACCCGGTTTGAACCGCCTTTTTTATTTTTTATTTTCTTATTTTTCTATTTTTTTACTTCAAACTCTTCTATAAACCCGAGTGGTCGTGTTTTCCCAATGATGATCCTGAGGAGCCATGATATGATCTATGGATTGTTGAGCAAGCATGTGAATTGCCCTCTCCTTTCCTAAGCTCTGGCAGAAATCGTAGTTAACTATTCCACTTTGAATGGATGACGTATCTATGATGAATGGATCTAGACCTCGCTGCAAGGGAAAACAATCACTTTTCGTGTACGTGAGATTTCCTTGGAATTTTGCCAATTCGAAGACAGACAGCTTTCTCGAGTATTCACATAAATACACTGCCACATACACTACATACAATCTCACGCCGGCTAAAACTTCTGCCCGCTGTTGCTTTCCCATTTCCACTGTCCGCATTTCCGATCGACTTCTTGCTCCGGTCTAAAGGGATTTTGAACTGCCCTCGAAACCTTTCAACGGACGTCCTTTGCAACCCCGAATTTCTGTCACAATGACGGTTTTCGTTGTGTCTTTGTAAGTTCTTCTGTTATAAGTTGATGATTGCATTGGGTATGGCAGCTCTCTGACTTTCTTTTTCCTTTTTTTTTTTTTTTTTTTTTTTTTTTTTTTTCGAATTCTAGGTTTCTCCCCTATACTGTCAATTTTCAGCTCCCTGAGGGCCTGCAAACTAGGCGACCGTCAAGTCCTAGACATCGACATGTGAGAGAAGGATCTTCTGAGCTTCACAGGAAACAATTCAGTAGCCTATTCTCCCAGCGCAGGAAACCAACTTCTCCAACAATACCGGCATTTCCCAAGGAACAAGTCCAACACCATTCCCTTACATCCGACAAGTCTAGCAAGCCTAAGCCCAAGGTTGACCAATCAGGCTATCCGTTTCCTTCACCCGCGGATCTTCAGCCGTTGGCTCCCAGTGATCCCCATTCCCCAACTTGGGGGACTAAGGGAGTATTCAATCAACCGAAAGCAATGCCGTTGTGTTCTCCGGCCCCATCCATCCTTGATCATGGTGTCGCTACTGACTCCAAAAATGCAGCTGATGCGATTAAGCTGTTCACATTAACTCAGCCAGACCCTGAGAACGACTATTTTGCGGGAGCAGCATGGACAATAGTGCCGTCGGAACAAGGAAATGGTGGGCTTCGGAATGCCGTCCGCTCTACTGTCGACAGCAACGTTCTCGGGAGCGTATTTTGGGTCGGAACTCTCGGCATGCCGACAGATGCATTGGATGATCACACAAAGGATAACATAGCCGAAAAACTCGAAGTGGACTATGATGCATTGACTGTCTATGTGGATGATAGCGATTTTGATGGCCACTATCTCCACTTCTGCAAAACAATTTTGTGGCCGGTTTTCCATTATCAGATTCCTGACAACCCAAAGAGCAAAGCGTATGAAGACCACTCATGGGTCTACTACGTTCGTGTGAACCAAGCATTTGCGGACCGTATTGTTCGCAACTGGAAACGTGACGATGTGATCTGGTTCCATGATTACCACTTACTATTAGTGCCCGCTATGGTACGGAAACAACTCCCTGATGCTCAGATCGGGTTTTTCCTCCATATAGCATTTCCGTCATCCGAAGTATTTCGCTGCCTGTCCGTCCGGGAGGAGTTGCTCAAGGGTATGCTTGGAGCCAATCTGATAGGTTTCCAAGCTCAAGAATATTGTCATCATTTCTTGCAAACCTGCAGCCGCATACTTACTGTCGAAGCAACGAATGAAGGTGTTCAACTGGACGATCGCTTCGTTAATGTGGGGACTTTCCCAATTGGCATTGACGTGAAGGGCTTGGACGGTATACGGAGCAATGACGAAGTTGCGCAATGGATGCGCATAATCAAGGAAAAATATGAGGGAAAACGCCTTGTTGTGGCCCGTGACAAGCTGGACAATATTCGGGGCGTCAGGCAAAAGTTACTGACATACGAACTTTTCCTCCGCAAATACCCGCAGTGGCAAGACAAGGTATGATGACACTGCCCTTTCTTATCCTTAAGGTTCTATGCGCAGCAACAGCCATAACTAATACTGTCGATCCAGGTGGTTCTAATCCAAGTTGCCTTGCCGACGACGGAGCAATCTGAGCTTGATGCAACAGTATCAGACATCGTGACGCGAGTGAATTCTGCCAACTTCAGCTTGGCCCATCAACCTCTGGTCTTTCTGAAACAAGATATCGACTTCCCTCAGTATATTGCGTTGATCTCCATGGCAGATGTTCTCATGGTCACGAGTCTGCGAGAGGGTATGAATCTTACCAGCCATGAATTCATCCAATGCCAAAATGGCCAATATTCCGAGAAAAAACATGGCTCTCTGATTCTTAGTGAATTTACGGGAAGTGCTTCGCTATTCGAAGGACACTCGTTGCTTGTCAACCCCTGGAACTACAAGCAATGCGCCGAGGCTTTGAATACTGCCCTGGAAATGAACCCAGAGCAGAAGCAGCGCAGCTGGACAAAATTAAACGACATAATTATGAAACATACTACGGCTAATTGGTTCAAAACGTTTATCGAGGCTCTCAGGAAGGCGTGGAGTGAGCAGTCATTTCGGGATAATGTGTCCATACCTCGTCTTTCAGTCAATGATCTTTGCTCTAAATATAAACGGTCCTCACACCGTCTGTTCATCCTCGACTACGAGGGAACTCTGGCATCCTGGGGTTCCCCTACTAGCATCGTGTTGACCACGCCAAAGCGGGCCATTGATACGTTAAATGACTTGATTGAAGATCCCAAAAATATCGTCTACGTGATGAGTTCTCGAATGCCCGAAGAGATGGAACGGCTCTTCCGCCGTGTCGCAGGGCTGGGTCTAATTGCTGAGAACGGTCGCTACCTTCGCGAAGCCAACCATGAGGACTGGGTACGGCTCGTGAGCGAGGAGCATACAGAAACCTGGAAAGAAGGAGTGGCAGACATGATTCGGTATTTCCAGGAACGCACAGAAGGCAGCTGGGTTGAACACATGCACACATCTCTAGTATTCCATTTCGCAAATGCAGAGGATCCGCAGACGGCCGAACGACATGCGTCCGAGTGTGCGAATCACATCAACGACACATGCGCGAACCATAATGTCCACGCCATTGTGGACAAGGATGCTCTTATCGTTGAACCTGTCTCCCCCAACAAGGCCACGGCTGCGAGTACGGTGCTAGAGTGCCTCCAACGGTCCGCGAAGGGTTCTCTTCCTGCTACAAATCAGGAGCCTGATTTCCTCTTTGTTGTTGGAGATGGACGGGAGGATGAGGTTATCTTCCGCTGGGCGAACAAACTGGACGAGGAAGGGGTGATCAAAAACGTTCTTACTGTGACGCTTGGGTCGAAGAATACGGAAGCAAAAGCAACATTAACGCAAGGGGTGACCGGTAAGTGCTGCCCGTAGCTACTTGAGGAATGCGTTTTGCCCTTACTGACACTGTGGGATGCAGGGGTACTTTCCTGCCTTCAGAAACTGGCGACCATCTCGCAGGTAACGCAGTGATAACCTCCATTCCGCCAGGCAGGGCGTGGTTATCCATATTCATGTCTCCAAACGATTAGCTGGTTGATGCTCGCCTATTCAGCCTTAGTTCTCATCTCGTATGTATAGTTTATTGAGTTACGTATTCTAATTAGCTACTGTCTTCACTTTTAAGCAAGCGATCCGAATAGTTATTCTGCTCCCTTTCCTCAATTCGTCGCTATGTTAGGAAAAATAAAATTGAATCTATCTAGGTCTACAAGTTTCATTTATCACGGATAGCTACACATCTAAATCTATATACAAAGTAGTGAAAGAGCTATATATACCGCGCTTGGGGTCTAACAATTTACCTTGGGAACCAAAGGAAAACATTCCGACAGAGCCAAATAGATTGCTTATATCTTCGTGGCCCCATTTCCATTCCCATTTCCCTTCCTCTGGTCAAAATTCCTCCGCGCATCCACAATCAGTGCGACATGGTTACTCAACGCGACAACCTCACCCTGCTCATCCAGCACGACAAGATCCAAATCCATCCTCCCATCTCTTAGCACCTTCGTCTGCACACGTGAATACAACCACTCCACCCCCTCCGCCGGCAACTTCTTCTTAAACTCGATATTCAGCAGGACAGTGGGGTACCAGTACCTGGCCACCTTGTCGCTGCTGCTTTCCGCCGCGGCCGCAGACCCAGGAGCCGTCACCCCATCAGCCCACTGCTTCCGATCAAACGTCGCCAGCATCATCGGGAACATATCCGCCAGATAACCCAGCGACGCATCGGTCCAGCGCTCGATTAGGCCATACGGCTTAAATCGGGCCCACTGCTCCACGACGCCGGCATATGTCTCCCCCATTCCCGAGCGCCGGGGCGTGTAAAACTCGGCATGCTGCGACGCCTTGCGCATGGTCGCAAAGGCAACATGGAAGCGCTCCCAGTCACCATCGCGGCCGTCCCGGGCCAACCTCGCCAGGTCAACCGTCGGCGCTCCGCCTCTGACACCACCAACAACAGCAAGGTCCCCTGGCCCCCGCACCGGCACGGCAGACAGTTCATACCCGGTATTCATCGTGGGGCCCTCCTCCTGGTCGAAATTGGAGACGGTGATGTAACCGGCAGCCTCATCGCGGACGGCGCCGTCGGGATCCAGTTGGCTGAGGGTTATATGTAGGATTGAGGTGCGGGAGCCGAGTTTTGTATCTTGCACGGTGAAGGTGGCGGGGCCAGCTTCGGTGCGGCGCAGGAAGGTAAGGTGGATTGTTATGGGGTGGGGAGCACCGGAGTGCAGGGTTGGGTGGGTGTGTTTGAGATGGGTGACTGCGACATTGTGGAAGATGGAGGTTACGTAGCCGCCATGGGGGACTGGGCGAAAGGGGGTAGATCAGTTGTTTGTTGGAATCATAAATCATGGGATAGGTAGGGAGGAGGAAATGATGCATGCATATGCATACCTGTTCCGATACACCATTCCAATCGTAGGGTTGCGGTGTAGGTGTGCGAGGACAGTGGGGTGACAGCCGTAGCGTCCTCGAATCTGTTCACGGCCGTCATGGTCGGTGCGTATGTATTAAATCCTGTCCAATTGAGCTTTCGCAACAAAACCCCACCGTTGTGGAAACCTTCACTCCAGGAACAAAAACGTATCCCTCCGTCTAGACACCCTCTATTCCCAACAAACTGCGAGATGTTAAAGCAGTTGCATGTGCGAGGGTATATCAAACATGTGAATTTCCAAAAGAGTAGGTAAAGAATAGACAAAAATTGAAAATCCCCGAATACAAAATCAGGAGAGGGCGCATAGAATATATATACAAAATATAAAATAAGATATGTATATATAGAAATATTTAGAACAGGAGAATAGTTCTTTGTAGGTACACCACGGGATATTTGTATGGATGAATATCGATGCATCGTCGGGAGGAAATTCTGGTGGTTTGGGTTGGGTCAGTCGGGCCGAGTACCTCGGCATCCCGACACAAGCCTGTTACTCCGGCCAAATCAAAACATAACAAAGCTTCAAGTCACTTAAATGTCTACATATTTGCAAAGCTCTGAATTTGTTGGTATGGTGGGGGGTGGGAGGGAAGGGGAGGTAGAATGAATGTATAATATCCATGCTATATCACATTAAACAGCGAATTCCAGAGGTTCCATAACTACTCTATGCTCTATACGTTGAGAGATAAAAAATTAGCCCTCTATATACATACACACACACACAAACGCAACAGAGCCGAATGCAGAATCACAACTTTCCCTCCCTTGACTGCTGCACCCAAACCCCATATGCCTCCGTACAAACCAACTTCCTCTTAACCCACTCCAACTGTCCCACCCCCCCTTTTCCTTTCCCTTTCCCTTTCCCTATCCCTATCCCTATCCCTTCCCCTTCCCCCTCCCCTTCTTCCTGCACAAGCTGCCCTCTCATAAAAAACTTCCTCCCCTCCCTCGCCACACACCACGCCTTCACAACCGCCATCCCCGGCACCCTCACCGGTCTCCGATACCTCACATCCAGCTGCACCGTATACAACCTCGCCCGTTCCGCCTTCTCATTCTCCTTGTAGCCAGGTATATGCAGCGAGACGGCCAATGACATCACCTCATCGAGCAGCGTGGCGATGACACCGCCATGCGCCGTGTCCGGGTGCCCGCTTATGCCCGGCGTGGCGAGGGAGAAGAGAGCGAAGAGGTCGACTTTGTTAGATGGGATGGGGCGGCCTGCTGCTGGTGCCGTGGGGCCAGTAGCGGGCGGGGGAAAGGGAAGAGATTGGTGGGTTGGTGGTTGCTCGATTGTTTTCTTGCGGAGGGTGAGGCAGTGGGGGATTGTGGTTGGGGAGCCGATTGTGAGGGCGAAGAAGGCGTCTTCGCCGGTTGCTGGGTCGGAGGTTCGCGAGTAGGTTTTTATGGCGGCGTGGGTTGGGAGATTGAGGAACGTGGATGTCCATGGGTCTGATTGGAAGTGGGAGAGGGTTTCTGGGGGAATGGAACATGGGGGAGGAGATGTAGGTGTATAAGCGGAAGAGGAGGAGGAGGAGGATGATGATGATGAGGATGACATGGTGCGGTTGCGGTTGCGGTGGTTGCGGTGGTGGTTTTTGATCCCTTGCTATTCCGCCAGTTACGGTGAGTTGTATGTATGGATGAGGTTAATTAGCGAATTGAAGAATTTAGGGAGTGAGGGAAACAGAGGCCGAGTCCATTATCAGTTTCACCAAAGGAACATAAACATTTTATTCCTCTTTTTCTTATTGTTTCTTATTTTCCCATCTCTCTTTGCTTTTCGTCCTTTCTTCTATTTCCAGTGTGAATAAACTCCGCGACACGGCTCTGACACCGGATTTTTGACCTCGGCAGTTTTCAGGAACCGGGATTTTTAAGTTAACTATTGAGTTGGTAGTTAGTTAAGAACCTCAGCCATCGAGCGGTTGGATGCAAATCCCCTTGGGATTTCTTCTCAACCCAGCCATATCAACAGGAGGAAGTTGAAGGCTAACAATGGATCGAAACATCTTTCATGTATCCATCAGGTAGCATGAGAAAGCCCTATCCCTATCAGCTTCTGGAGGCATATGGAGTGGATCCATTACGGGGGGACCCTCAACATTTGCCGAACGAGTGCAGAAGAAGAGAGGGGAAATAACAAAGAAGATTGTGAAGAGTCACCCTTGAAAAACCAGATCCCTCATTTCCTCTGATAACAGGCGTAATAAGCCATGAGCTTCTTAGCCCGGAGCTCACTTTCATTTTATGATGAATTCTGTGGCTGTGACACCCACACGGATTTGAGAAATCCAAAGAACTGGAATAGGGAATTTAGCCTGTTTTGTTGGATGGACAAGACGGATCCTAGCCTACAATTTTCTTGGTATTAACTAACTTCTGTCATACCTGAGCTCACGGAGTATTATTTAATTCTAAGGCGCGGGGGGTAAAAGGGAGAGATATTATCTCCCTGGACCCGCTCCCGGCAGCATCAAATCGCCCAACCAAAGGCGCGGCCAACGTGTCAGTGGCCAGCAGAGCCTATTGTCTTGGTTGGCGGGATAAAACTGCATCCGGCGGCAATACCACACCAGGAGGACAGCACAGGTTAACCCCCCCCCTTACTTACAACCAGCCCGGGCCCGGGCCCCGGCCCCCGGCTCCGGCCCCGAGCAGGAATTAGCCCGGTGGACGAGGGCTTCCTTCTTCAGCTTCACGTTTGCCTCTCTCTCTGGGGTTGTTTTTTGTTTATTTTTCTTTTTGTTTTCCTTTTGTTTTGTTTTCTTTTTCTTTTTTTCTTTTTCTTTTTCTGCTGCTGCTTCTTCTCCTTCTTTTTATCCAGCGTCATTCATATCTAATAAATATATTCCGAGTCCTCAATGTAACAAACCACATTCTTCCTGGCTGATAATAATACAATACTGACTGTGACTTTACTCTCGGCCTGTGTTATTGGTTCATTGGTTACCGTTGCTGCAGTAGTTATCCCCTGATCCCCATCAACCACAAACCCCCACCCCCCAACGGGCCACGGCCACGGTGATAGATAACTAAGATCCATACGCAGATCTCTGCCACACTCCGTGTGCGTTGATAACTACTTGGTAGGCAGCTCCGTCAGAGCAACCGCCACAGCAACAACCGCTTCCACAAGCGCATCAGTCTCACCGCAACACACACAAATATCCGCCAGCTCTCTCTCTCTAAAATCTCTACCAATTCTCTTCCCCTTAGTCGCATCCCAAATCTGTTGTCGTCTCTGGCTGCAGCTCATTACCGCGATTCCCAATTGATACACCCTCATATCCTTTTCAGCTAGCTTCAATTGCTCTCTGAAGCGTTGCTCCACCTCTTTTCTCTTCTCTGTCTAGGGTGATACTTGACAACGCAACACAGCTACCATCATGTTGCTCTCCGTTCTCCTCCCTGTTGTGTCTCTGCTGGTGACGACGGGTATCGCTGCCCAAATTTTCCCTCCTGATTTCAACCTAGGTGCTGTCCCGACCGACCAAAAATGTTAGTAACCAGCTTCCATGAATTTTTCTTATTTTTCGCGTTAGGGGGCATGTGTTGCTAACCAATTGCTGTCAGATGCCTGGTGTGATTCCCAGTCCGCCGCTTGCCCTGCCATCTGCCAGAACTTTGCCTCGGTCAATAAGTGCAGCGCAGTATGTATCCAATGCATCCAAGACCCTGTCTCCCATTCTTCTTTTTCCTCTACTCCTGCTTCTTCTTGGTGTTCCTTCCTGCATCACATATCAAGTGTCGCATTGAAATAATCCTAACCCACCGCATCAGAATGATCTAAGCTACACCTGCACCTGCGGTGACGGAACCACCCCCGACCTGACCAAGTATAAGAGCACGATGCCGTTCTTCATCTGCACCTCGACCTTTGCCCAATGTATCGCAAGCCACCCCGATGACCTGATGGGTCAGAGAGCCTGCAAGGAGAACCAGTCCAAATGTCTCGGCACTCAGGACCCTTTTAAATCAAAGGGGGAGATCACTTCCAGCGCCAGACCAACCAAGACCCAAGAAGCGCAGATCTCAAGCAACATCCCCACCGTCACCCAAAATACAAGTTCCTCAAAGACCAGCAACCCAGCTTCCACTCTACGTGTGCCTCATGATTCCTCTGTTAGCATCCTAGTTGCCGCTTTCCTCGCGGCTTTCAAGCTTTTCATGTAGCCACCTGACTGTGGCAGACTCCTGACCGTGGTGTTTTATGTTGTTTAGCGGACAGATCCTTTCTTATTTTTAATGACGACGATGAGATGTATTCATGCCCTCCCTGTTGATGTGTGTGCAGGACTGGAGTAAAGGGTGGGAAAATAAGGAATGGTGAAGGAAGAAATGAAATGGTCGCAGCAAGATGCCTCTTGCGATAATTGTTTGTTTTTGTTTTGTTTGTATGCTGCTCACCCTATATTTCTTAGCCTCCTTAACCTCAAATCCATGAGCATTCCTTTCCCTTTCTTTAATTTCCAGGTGGTACTCCGTAGGTGTTTATGATGAGATGTAATGCGTGCATCAGCCACTGCAGCAAAATGGTAGTGATGGCATTTGATTTGACTGAATATGCCTCCCGAAATTCTTTGCGGAAACAAATCAACATGTCCGAAATGGTTTTTGTGTTTCTGTCCCAAGTTTTATTTAGGCGCGGGTCACTTTAGAGCTAAATGATACATGTATGACGTTGACTTGGGAGGAATAGACTGTATGAACCCATCTATCGCCGGGTACACAGAGGATATACAAGTATTTATCCTCCTTATCTAAGAGTAAAATTACTATCAAAATATCAAAAGTATTTTACTATTAAATTTACATTATTTTAGACTATCTTTTTAATTTTCTTAATTTTTTCTAATTTTTAAGCTGCCATTTTGTGGGGACAGAGCTGTCTGTTGCCCGCCAAAAGATACATCACAACCTCGCCAAGACCGCTCCTCCCCACACATCGAAATTCTCGAATTCATCAAACCAAAAATCTTCGTAGCCACAAGACACGCTCCCTTACCTTCAGCCCAACGCAGTGTCCAAGATCAGATACAAGCCAC